CACCATGAAGGTTATGATTTTTATTTTTTATTTTTTGAAATACGGAACTATATGAATAATAGAGAAACTCCATGAAATATCTATACTTAAAATTTTGAGATTACAACTAGAATTGCCGATGGCAAGAAATTTTTTTTTTTTTTTTAGAAACTCCAAGAAATATCATCTATCAAAGAAAAACTAAAATAAATAAATAAATTTAGCCTATTTCAACTTAAATATTATATTTATCCATGTTGAATCAATCTATAATATTGTTCTTCCTTGAATAATGGAGAAACTCCTTGAAATGGAAGGGGTTTAGTGCACTAAGGCCTATGTTATATTATATATGATATTAATGCATCATTTTTTTTGTCATTATAGTTATATCACTCTAATGCTACATTTGGTGTGCATGAATGGAATGTCTATTCTAACCATTCATCAGTTTGATATACAATTTAAAGTAGGAATGACCATTCCGTTGGAATAAAAATCTATTTCACAACTAAACCTATGGAATGGTTATTCCATTCCCAATTAATGTTTTTTAAAAAATCAAGTTCCCAAAACACCCTTATGCTCTAAGTCCAAAAATCACCACCACCACCTTCCACCACAACCATCACCGACTTTTACCATTACCACCACCTCCATTGCTTTCCACCACCGTCACTGCCACTACCACCATTGCCTTCCACCATCGTTACTGCCACTACCACCATTATTGTCACCTTTAACCACTACACCGCCACCACCTCCACTGCCTTTAGCCACTGCCATTGCCACCTCCACCACTGCCACCGACTTCCACCAATGTTATCCCCTTCCACCACTACCACCTTCCACCACTGCCACCTCTACTGCCTTCCACCACGATCATTGCCACTATCACCATCACCATTACCACCATCATTGTTGCCGCCTTCACCACCGCCACCACCTTCCACCACCTTTACTACCACCTCTACTACCGTAGTTGCCTTCCACCATCATCATACCGCCGCCACCTCCACTACCTTCCACTGCCACCTCCACCACTATCGCGCATTTCCACCATCACCAACTTCCACCACCACTACTGCTGCAACCACCTCCACCTCTACCACCACCTCCACTTCCATCGCCACCACCACCTTCCACCACTGCCACCGCCACATCCACCGCCACTGACTTCAATCACCATCGTCACTGCCATCACCTCCACCTCCACCTCTACCAGCATCGCCATTGACTTCCATCACCACCACCATCTTCCACCACCTCCACCGTTACCGACTTTCACCAGTACTGCCACCGCCTTCCACCACTGCCATCACCTTCCACAATCACCGCCTTCCATCACCAACTACACCACTACCTTCCACCATCTCACCTACACCACTAACATCTTCCACCATTACTACCATCGCCACCACCATTGCCTTCTACCAACACCCATGCTGCCTTTGCCACCATTGCTGTCACCTTCCAACACCACCACCGCTTCCCACCTCCACCACCATTAACCACCACCGCCATTTCTTTTAAAAAAATTATAGAAGAATGTTATTTTGTCAATTTAAATTATTTGTCACTTATAGGGATATGTTGGATAATTCAATTTGAAATTCATTCTTTTCTAAATTTTACATTAGTCCATTCTTACATATTTCATATTTGCAACCAAATAATAGAATCTCATTCTCATTCTATTCCCACTTGCATTCCATTTTATTCTCACTTGCATTCCATTCCATTCTTGTACACCAAACGTAGTATAAAATTGTTTGTCAATGTTTAGTTTGAACTTGTTTATGAATGAAAAACTTTTTAATTTTGTGATATTATTAACTTTTTTATTATTATTAATGTGAATGAACTTGTTTATGTTATGTTTTGGAACACAATCCGCCTCCCATTCTAGATACACTTTGTAATAGGTAAGCGCTTGACCATTTATACCTATTCAAATTTCTATTTGGATTTGATGGGACAAGTCTCCCTTGTGACATTCTCCTCCACCTGAACTTGCAACACTCTCATTACGGCTCGGGCTACCCTACCTATCTGGAATGAAGACTCGAATGTTCTTCGGGCCGGGCGCTTGGCGTGACACCGAATTAAGGATTGGGTTTGACTCTCATACCAACCGTAATGAGTAGGTAATTGCCCATTTATCCAAAAGTTAGTTATTGATTAGTGCTGCACACTCACCCATTTATATTTATTCATTTTTCCATTCGAATCCAATCTGCAATAAGCCTCCTTGTAACAAGAAGCCACCTATTTAGGTACTCCAAACACAATAATAAGATTTTGAAGACAGTTTTGATGTTTTTTTGGGTTCGTTTGGATTCTTAAGCACTCTTTAAAGAATAGTAACATAAAGGGGCTTTGGTAGCATGAAGTTGGGAGGGTAAAATGGGGAATTCAGCGTTTGCAGAGAGGAGATGGTTTCATTACAGAGAAGAACAGAGAGAGATGAGGGGAGAGATGGCTCGAACGACGTCGTTGGAGTGGGCTTTCTGGGGGTGTTCTTGTTGCATTGGATCCAAGAGAGAATCCATCTCTCTCTCTCTCTCTCTCATATTTATCAGAGTGGTAGCGCAACAGATCGATCACCCAGTTCTTAACTTCTTATATGTGAAAGTATATATATATATATATATATATATATATGAAAAATATTGTTTGGTTTTCAAGATCTTTAAAATGTGCTCTCATTTCTTTAATGTTGCCCTTTTTGCTGTGTCCTTTGGGTTATCCCTCTCCAAACCGCATTAATTTATTTGTTTAATCTAAATTTTTTTTTTGGTCTTTTTAATTTTCTGCTATGTGTGTGTGTTTCAACTGTATAATTATGCACGAAGAAGTTCAATGAGGGACAATTTAATCAATCAGAGACAATTGGTTTGACACCATTTATATTGTTTTTGTACTATTTTGCTTTCCTATATTCCTCTGTTAGTGGATGACATTGTTTTCAACGGTATAAATATGAATGAACCCATTTAGATTGCTTTCCTCCTCTGTTAGTGGATGGCATTGTTTATGCATGAAGAAGTTTACCCATTTGCATTGTTTTGTTAGAAGTGGACGAATCTTACAAGGGTCTGTTCACTGGTTATATATATATATATATATATATATATATATATATATATATATATATATTATTATTTTTAAGGGCAAGAATGTTAGGGGTGAGTGGTTAGTTGTTAGAGGGGAGGAGGAGGGTGCAAGACCCGGACACGGGGAGCAACCCACTACTCGGTCAACACAACTTCACTGGTTATAAATATGAACACAAGTGTTTCTGCCTTGGCACTGACCTCAAAAATCTTCATCATTCCCATTGCTCTCAAAACCTTCATCATTCTCATTCCTCTCATAATCTTCACGGTTTAGAATGGTGCTTATGTTTTTCTAGTTCTATATTAATGTTTGCTGATCATATAAATGTAATATTTAGAATTGTTTCTTCTATAATCTATACGCGTGCAGGTGACTTATGTATGAAATGTTTCTCTATGCAGGAGACGTCATTAGAGTATATCATATGCCTCATTCATCTTTCTGTATTTGGAATTCTTGGGGTATGGTGTTACAATTTTAATTGTTTGGAGCATTTCTTTACCAGAGATATGCATAAAAATTTTAATTTGACTGAAATATGCATTAAAATTTTCATTTGGATCCCAAATGCTGTCTGCTGACTTCCTTGTATGACTATTGTACTCTTTACTCTCTTCTAGCAGGGTAGTTGGTACTTCCCTGATAGCAACTTAACTGATCCTAATAAACACAAATTTGCCAATATATTAGCATATAACTGAAGCTTAATAATGGTGAACTTTAATTTTTTTTTCAATGGAATGCTGGCAGAAGTGCGGGATAGTTCTATCAATTGAATATTGAGGTTTTGTTTATTTATTTATTTTGGAGGAATGGGTGGGGAGCTGAGTCAGGAATTTTGTGGTTTGTTTGGCAAAAGTTGTGGTAAGAACAATTTTACTATTGTTGATTTGTTTCATGATTAAGGACGTTATGGCATGAGAACCATCATCTTAAGAGCACAAACTTGACATATAAGCAGAACAGAACAAAGGGTTTCAACTTTTTGGCGAAACATAATGCTCCTGAAAGATGATGTATTTGAAATGTTCATAAAATCTTATGAAGAAAAACTATAAAAATGCCGTTTTCCAGTTTTTCAATCCCGTTAATGGATGGTGCTAGGAATAGAAGATACAGATGATGAAAGAAAGGGGACTTATTGCCATAGCTTTATCTCTGTTAGATCCAATATCTTTGTAGCTAAGTTTATGGTTCGCCCGTTGGAAGAATAAACAATAGACTTCCATGACTTGATTGAATGGTTTCTATGGGAATAACTGTTCACCTCTCAAATTCTGCTAATTTATGTTCTCTTGATGACGTTTGTTTTGAAAACTCTTTATTTTTTCTCCTTTTTTTTGGTTTTCCTTTTCTTCATTTTGTTTTCATCTCTCTTAAATGAGAACGTGTTTTTTTGGTGATTTTTAAAAGTTACCAAGGCTCATCATAAAAGAAGTGTTAAATTAAGTCTTGTTCCATCCCCCATTCTCTTTTGGGGTACACCAGTCTTCTTCATATTCATATTTTGTTTCTTTTGTCTCTGTCTGTCTGTCTTTAGGTTTTTCTTTTAGCAAGCCATACACATTGACTTTGCAATCTATTCAGTCTTTCCCTTTGCTTATTTGTGCTTTTAAATTGGTTGTATGGCCAATGATTCTGTTGTTGTCATGTTTATACACTGTAAATTATTTGAAATGGTTCATCTGAATTTTATCATCCATAGATTTTACTTTTAGTAAGGCATATGATGTTTCTTATTCAGCTTTCATGGCTTTCATAAGTTTTAAATTTTTTCATAATTATAAGTTTTAATTTTAGCATTTCTATATTAGCCACACATTATATGTGCAATTTTATTTTTGTTTATTTATTTATTTTATTTTTTGTTCTTGGCAATTTTATGACTTTTGAAAGATCAGATGCTGGTGAAATTACTCTTGTTCATTGAAGATTGTAGTTCTGAATTGAAATTAGTGTATATATTTAATTTATATTGATACTTGCGTGTGTTTGTCTAGCTTCTGTAAGAATACACAAGGCGCTGACTTTTTCTTGGAACCTTTTTTTTTAGGTTTTGACAAGGTATCTACTCCAAAAGCTGTTTGGTCCAGGAATTGTTGGTTTCACAGGGAATCAGAGTTTTATGTACCTTGATCTTCCTTCTAATATGGTTTCTCTCTCTCTCTCTCTCTCTCTCTCTCTCACACACACACACACACACACGCACACAAAGATAGAAACACTAATTTCACACTGCACGCACACTGACAGATACTCTTAAAGAGTGTACTTATTCACAACCCTATGAATTATGTCTAGACGCCTGCTGTGTTTGAAATTTGGTTGAGCGATTATGTTAATTAACCTAATGTTAACTGGATAATGGTTAACATAGAAACGTTGGACTTTTATATTTATAATTATGGGTACACAAGTAGTAGCATCCATTGCATGTACTGATGGCTAATTGAAATTGTAACCAGGGGGTTCTGGGTGCCTATGTGAACTAGAATATTTGAACACATTGGTTAGGAGTAAACATGCTCTAGTGTATGAATTGTTTTTCTCCCCGATGGATTATTTTTGAATGAATACAAAACCTAAACCCTAAATTATTAATTAAAAAATTTGATCCGATAATCTAATATGATAATTAATTAAATTATTAGTTAAGGGTGTAATTTTGTGCTAAAAAATAATAATAATTTCATATAATAAAGAACATTCTAATAATATGTAAATATTATATATTATAGCATTAGATACTATAATTATACCATATTATATATTTTATTATAAAGGATCATATATATTATCGGATCGACCAATCCTAATTCATATCTGCTTTGTTTACATAACAGATTATTTGATTCTGATTGGTAACGGGTTATTGGATTGAATGTTTCAATCTATATCTGAATTTTCGGGTCAGATTTGGATCTTAATCTGATTCATTGGCAAAATATAGTGGTCGTAAATGAGAGGGTGTTGTGTCAGATCTCCTGGCACTTAAATTTGCCTCCTAAACTCAGTAGCATGTTGGCCGTGTGTTAGCTTAGCAACTTAAATCTGCCAATTCATGGTGGTCAATAATATGGGGCCTCATGTTAATGCTTGCTTCAGGTTGGGTGTTCTGATAAAAGCTGCGTCTTGGGATTTGGCTTTTAAGCTATTGGTAGTCATAAGTTCACCTAATTGCTACCCTGTATTTCCTTTCATTTTGTATATTATTATTGTTTCAACGCATACCTAATTCAGTTGTTCTCATGAGTATTATGTGCAATCTTTTAGGTTGGTTCGTTCTTGATGGGGTGGTTTGCGGTTGTCTTCAAAAGGGATATTGCCAAAGTTTCGGAATTTTTAGCCCTTGGACTGACGACTGGTTACTTGGGAAGCCTTACAAATTTTAGTGGTTGGAATCAGAATATGCTTGACCTTAGTGTGGAAGGCAATTGGGCTTTTGTTCTCCTCGGCTTTCTCGTAGGTAATTCAACATTTTGCAAGAATGAGTTATATGGGGGTACAGAGAATCTGGCAAATGATAATTACGTGATGTGAATTTTAATTTCATGTGATTCATCTCCTGCTTGGTCCTTCTCGCATTTTTAACAACTAACAATCCCCCATCAAGCTCATTCAATTTTGTGTAGATATAGAATCATAATTTTAGCTCATATTTTTTTTCTTTCAGGTTTTTCCTTTGCTGACTATTCCTTCACTATTGGGATCAGGTCAGCCAAGGGTTTCAGGTGGCTTCTCACTAGATTAAACACTAGTCCAGAACACCACATCTGTAACAACTCCAAAAGAAATTGGAAGGTGAACACCTACAAGCGCCACTTGGCAGTTATGGTAGTGCTGGTACTGATGCTAGGCTTATTATGGGGGGTGAGTGCGATTTTACTGAAGAAAGAGTTTGACAGTGGCAGCAGTGGATCTCAGCTGTGGTTGGCTTGCATGGTTGGACCTCTAGGTGTGTGGATTAGGTGGTGGTTAGCCCGACTCAATGGATGCGGTTTAGGAAGAGCAGGCTTGTTGAAATGGATTCCTTTGGGGACTCTAATCGCCAATGTTTCTGCAGCTTGTGTCATGGCAGCTCTTGAAATAGTAAAAAAAGTGGTAAATTCCAAATGTTTACACTTCACTATGATGAAGTCGTACGATATTACTTGCATATATGAACATGACTTGTAATTTGAAGACATTTTATTTGTTCGACATAGGTGAATACGAAGACTTGTGATAATGTTGCTGGTGGTATACAGTTTGGGCTGTTGGGTTGTCTAAGTGCTGTTTCTACTTTCATTGCTGAGTACCATGCAATGAGAGAAAGCAAGCACACATGGAGAGCAGAAGCATATGCCCTGATTACAATAGTTACCTCGTTTGTTTTGGGGTCCCTTATATACTCTGTGCCGTTTTGGATCAGGGAATACAGGTAGTGTCGACTCTTCCTTCATCTAGGCTCAAAAAGTTTGTGGATGCTAAGATATTGCAGAATGCATTTGGTCTTTATCTACCGGAAGGGGAGACAGTGCAATGCTGTCAATGGAAACATTTGGAATTTGATCACTTTTTTCACTATTGCGAGAGCTGCCATGACACAAGCTGCAGAAACATTGGTGATTAGAGTCGCAAAAGGAATCCATTTCAACAAGCCTGCCCTTCCTAAACCACGTCCATTGAGTCGAGCTAACAACCAACACCTAATCCACACATGCAAGGCAGCCACAGCTGAGTTCCAATGCTGCCACTGTCAAATTTTTTCTTCATTGAAGTCCCACTCACACCCCATAATAATCCTAGCATCAGTACCAGCACCACCATAAATTCCAAATGTTTCCATTGACAAAATATGTATTATATTGCTTTTATGGTAGAAATTTTCTGGCACTAAAGTCGCATTCTTTTCTTGCAGACTGAAATAAAATTGCTTTTGTGTAAAATGTAAATGATAGAATTTTGGGTAATTGCATTGTTATGTGGATAGTGATCATATAAACCAACATCTTATTCATTTTGCAGCTGTCTCATTCTTTTTCTTGTTCTTTCTCCCACATGGGCTAGAAGAAAGTTGGAGCCAGAATGCATTAACATGTGTGAAGTTATGTTCAAATTGAGATATTTTCTTTATAGATTTGGTGTTTCGTTCTGTAATTCAGCTATAATTTTGTTCTCTGATTGCGTATTTACAAAAGATTGTGCATAAGGGGCTTTTACGTTTGATGTAAAATATGATTACTTAATGCACTATCAGTGAATTCATTATTTATTATGGTAAAGTGCCAAAAAAAAAAAAAAAAAAAAAAACCGAATGTGCAAATATGTTCAAAAAAACCCTTCTACATCTTTCAAATTGAGCAAATAAGGACAATTTTTCCATTTGAAGATTGAAATACTTAAAATGCTCTCCAAACAAAATAAAAAAATGAATAATAAAAAAAAAAAAGCAAAAACAAAACAAATAAATAAAATAATAAAAAAAGAAAGGCATTTTTAATTTATTTTAACAAAAACTCCCCCAAAAATTTATTTTTATTTTTTTAGAAAAAAAGAAAAGAAAAATCTAAAATTCCCTTAGGGGTATTTTGGAATTTTTATTAAAAAAAAAGGTCAAAATTGTTGACCAGAGGGTAGTTTGTTACAAATTTGCAAAATATATGAATTTATATGCATTTTTTAAAAAATTGGAGTGTTTCTTGCACATTTTTTACATATCAATTTTTTTTTTTTTTTTTTTTTTTTTCTGCTTTGGCTTTACCCTATTTACTAAAAACTCATTCAAATAACTTTCTGAAGGACAAAAAAAAAGGTGGAAAATATATTAGTATTATTCACTACTAATTTTCTATAAGAAATTTGGTTTGTTTATTCCTTAAAAAAAAAAAAAGAAAAAAGGAAAAAAAATCTTTCCCGCTTTGGCAGTAGGGCTATAAATCAAACAATTATACTTGACATTCACGATTGACTCGATTAGAGACTCGTGTGGTTGACGAGTAGTTGACTCAAATGAGGTTGACTCGTGAGACAAATGAGTCAAATTTGATTAAGTTTTGAAACTGATAAGTTTATGAAGTTTCGATGAAATATTGAAGTTGTTAATAATAATTTTGAAATTATATTAAAAAAAAAAAAAAAATCAAAGTACTGGAGATCATCTTACATTTGGCTTAATTAGAGAAATTGAGGTTGACTAGAAACTTGTTTCTTGGTTTTGGAAAATTGACAAGTCAAAATTGATCAAAATTTTTAGCAGAAAATGAGCTACTCACCATTTTTTGTATCCTATGTCTAAAACGTTCAAACAAGGAGACTACGAAGTATGAACTTTTTCTGTATGTATTTGGTTGTTGATGAAAAAAAAAAAATAAAAAATAAATAAATAAAATCAATACTCTTAGACCTCATAGCTCAAACTTTCAAAGACAACCAAATCAAAATTCCCTCGTATTCTTTTTCATTTCAAAGGAGGAGAAGAGAAGATATCACTTGAAGGAAGAGTTTTAAAATTCCTTCATTTTCAATCTAAATGTAATAACAAAAATATAATTTGATTCATAGATTCAACCAAATAAAAGAAAACCCCAAATTTACAATCCAAAAGCTCAATCCTCTTTTCACCCATGCAATTCAGATTTCAAATACAAAAGGTTCCAAAATAATAATAACTATAGTTAAGGGCTTTGTAGTATAGTCGTATTTTCCCTCTATCTTTTAAAGTAGATAGTGGAAGTTCGAATCCAAAAGAGTAAAATTTTCAGTATTTTTATGAAATTTACCACCATTAACTTAAAAAGACACGCAACAGACAAAGGATCTCCACACCCAAAGGCATACCAAGCCATCCGTATCATCCAAAGACACAACGAATCGATGAGAACATGGCCCAAAAGCCACTGCCTTGTCCCATTTATTGGGCCTTGCTTGAGTGTCACCAAGTTGGATTTGGCGTATTAAGCACCTGATGGGCCTGATCATTTATAAACTGTTATCCAAAGCCCACTCCACCACCGTCAAAAGAATAGTGGTTCAGTTGGCAACTCAACAACAATTTTAAAATTGGAGAGACCCAATTTTAAGGATGCTCCATATGTATTTTCAAGCAGCGGGGCTTAAACCCACCGACTCCACCGACTCCACCTGTGTTGTCCCCCTAATTTGGCAGAAAGAAAAAATAATAATAATAAAATTCAAAAATTTAAATAATGAGAATAAAAAGTTTAGAAAGTTCAGGACGAGGACACGGTGGCTAATAATTAATTTTCATTACGTAAATCAAGGAGGTTGCCGTCTCACTATCGAATACGCTTCTTGTTTTCCGTTGTAAACCCGTTTTCGTTTTTCAATAATATAATGTATAGTTTTCAAGACGAGGTTCTCTTTGTCGATTCGATTTGGGTTTTGTTGGTCATCCAAACAACCCACAATAACCAAACTTCTCTTCTTCTTCTTCTTCTTCTTTATGGGTCGTGTTGAAGAAGAATGAGTTTTGAAATTTGGGTCCTAATCTGCTCTAGCTGCGACCGCCTGTTGAGGGTTCCTATTCATGGTACTTTCTCTCTCTAAAATGTGTTTTCTCATTTTTATTATGTTGTCTTTTTGAGGAGTCTGTTTTTTTTTTTTTTTTTTTTTTTTTTTTTTTTTTTTAAATATGCATGAAGAAGTTCAATCATTCAGATTGGAGTGGTTGTGGTGTCCATTCGTGGAGGACATTGCTCTCATAATCTTTTAGCTCTATATGTGTTTCTATAGAATCTTTTTGCTCACATGAGAATGCTTGATTAATCTAATCATAGAACATTTTATAGTCTGTTGGGTGTGTAAAGCATGACTTATCTCACTATCCCAGGATTTAACAAAAAAAAAAAAAAATTGATTTCTCTCTCCAACATTGAGTCTTCGTTATCGGGGATAAATCACAATCCCCTTTTTAAAGTTTTATTTATTTATTTATTATTATTACTTTTTACATTTAGTTTCAAAACAGAGATCAACTTTATAGAAAGATCATGTTGTTAAAATTAATTTGACAAGTAGGTGCCACCAACGAAGTTGAAGAAATTACCAGTTGTTCAACATTTAAAAAGTGACTTACAGTCACATCATCTATTGTTGTAAGATCATATTTCAGGACTTTTAAGGAACTTTTTTCAATTCTTTGAACTTATGGCACTGAGAAAACAACAACTTTGAAAAAACTTTCTTTCGGTAACTATAACACAATTTAGTAATAGTGAAAAAAAAAAAAAAAAAAATGCAAATTGTATCTTTTATATTATTTCTTTTATTTTTTCTTAATCGACGATTGTTTGCATGCTGTGTCTATTTTAATGGACAGTGATGCATTGGAAAATGGTATGATATGAGTAATTATCGATTGATCTATTTGCACAGCCGTTACACTCATGACTCATCATTGATTTTTTTATGTATAAGATACTTTCCTATATGTACACACACAAACATATGTTGTTACTTTATAAAGTTTATTTATCTATTCATTTATTTATAAAGTAACTCATTTTATATAGTTTTATTTATCAGATACTTTCCTATATGTTACTCATTTTATAAAGTTTTATTTATCTATTCATTTATTTATTATTATTACTTTTTACATTTCGTTTCAGAACAGAGATCAACTTTACAGAAAGATCATGTTGTTAAAATTAATTTGACAAGTCGGTGCCGCCAACAAAGTTGTTCAACATTTAGGCTCCGTTTGTTTCGATGTAAAATATTCTTTTTAGAAGATATTTTTCTTTTTCAGGTAAAATATTCTTTTACTTTTACTTTTGTCGGTGTTTGACAAAGGTCTACGTTGAGATTAAGGTCGAGTCCATCGGGCGAGACATGTAAAATAACTTGTCGAAAATTGATGAATAAATTATTTTTATTAAATTTTAATATATTTTTTCTTCGTAAATATAAAAAAATATATTTTTGAAAAATATTTTACGTCCAAACAAACGGAGCCTTAAAAAGTGATTTTCAGTTACATCATCTATTGTTGTAAGATCATATTTCAGCGCTTTTTTTAAAAATCAAATTGTATCTTTTATATTATTTCTTTTATTTTTTCTTAAGCTACGATTGTTTGCATGCTGTGTCTATTTTAATGGACAGTGATGCATTGGAAAATGGTATGATATGAGTAATTATCGATTGATCCATTTGCACAGCTGTTACACTCATCATTGATTTTTTTATGTATAATTTTAATTGTAGATGTAACCACTGTCTAAATTATTATCACACACACGCATATATATATCAAGATTGACTTTTTGTTATAAAAATTGGGCTGATGGCATCACCTTCTGTACTTTTGTTAGTTTTCATAAATGGAGTAGCTGAAAATAGCTTAAACTGCTAATGATCACATCAATCTGATTGTAACTTTATCTTGTTAATTGTTAACGATGCAGTTCCATTGCTGTTGCGTGTATTATAAATTGCAGGAGGAATAAAGCTTCAGCTACTCTTGTACAAAGATTATGGATCGTGACACTAATGACTCAGACCCCAGGCAAAGCAAGCCTTCTGGTCAGACAAGCCGTGGAGGTTCTTTGAGAAGGCATTCTTTTCATTTAACAAGTGTTGTCCCATGTCAAATAGATGATGATGCCAAAAGTGAGAGTGTTTCAGAGGTAGGAGATATTGGGGATCGGTCTTTTAACAGCAATAGGTACAATGGAAGTGGCAGGCACCACTTCTTTGCTGATAATACCGTCTCCCCTTTATCGCCATTACCAGCGGAAATTGTATCTCCTCTTTCCATCGGAGACATAAAGCAAGTGAGATATCACCCAACATTATTATTATTATTTTTTTTGTTTGATGGAAATTGGTGTGAAAGAGATGTATAGATGGGGCTTATGGTTTTCCACTTCTATTTTCATGTTTGCCGATCATATAACTGTAATATTTAGAATTGTTTCTTCTATAATCAGATATATGCAGGTGACTTATGTGTGACATGTTTCTCTGTGCAGGAGACTAAGAGAGATCTTCCAGGGGCATTGCAGTATATTATATGCCTCGTTCATCTTTCTGTTTTCGGAATTTTGGGGGTATGTTGCTAACAATTTAATTTTTTGGGGCTTTTTTTTTTTTTTTTTTTTTTCCAAGAGAGGCACTAGCATCACAATTTTCATTTGGATCCCAAATGCGGTCTGCTGATTTCCTTGTATGACTATTGTATCTCTGGGCCACTTTTTGTTTTGAACTTATAAGTTAGTCTCATTCTTGCCTGAAATTATTATTATTATTTTTTTCCTAATCTCAATCAGTTTTGTACTTGCTATGCCCTTCTTAGTCAATACATGATTTGATCCATGTAGCCCACACTTAATTGTGTACAATTTTCATGATTCGAAAATGTATCTTCTAATTTTGAATAATTGTTAATAATTTCAGGGTTAATTCTTGCTCGTCTGCCTCCCTAACCATGAATTTTGAATAATTGCTAATAATTTCTACGATTTGTTCATGCTGTCCACCGATATTCTGGAACTTTATACTATTGTGGTGCCTAGTAGTTCTTGCCATGTTAGTCAGTTCTCCGGTGAAGCTTGAAACTATTTTTCATTGACAAATTATTTTTTTATTTCATATAACTGATTTATGTGGAATAAAGTACTGGACTCTCATTGCATTTTAGTTAAACAATGTTAAATCTTCCTTCTCATATACAGATCATGAAAGAAAGAGAACTTATTGCGATAGCTTTATCTCTGTTAGATCCTATATCTTGGTAGTTAAGGTTGTGGTTCGCTAGTTGGTAGGATAAACAATTCTATCACATTGGATGATCGAAACGCATAATCTGACAATGTAACGTGGTGTTTCTTGTAGAAGTATATATCAGTCTCTAATTAGACTTCCATGACTTAGTTGAATGGTTTCCATGGGAATAATTATGTTCTCTTGATGTCGTTTGTTTTGAAACTCTTTCTTTTTTCTCCCTTTAGTGGTTTTCCTTTTCTCGATTATGTTTTTTTTTTTTCTGTCTCTGTGTTTTTCTTTTAGCAAGCCATACACATTATTTGTGCTTTTCAATTGGTGTATGGCCAATGATTATGTTGTTCTCATGTTTATACACGGTAAATTATTTGAAGTGGTCCATCTGGATTTGATGTGGTGCTTATGATGCCTTCTTATTCAGCTTTCGCGGCCTTATTAAGCTTTAATATTGGCATCTTTCTATTAGCCAGACACATTATATGTGCAATATTTGTTTGTTCTTGGCAATTTGACGACTTTAGAAAGATCAGATACTGGTGATATTACTCTTATTGATTGAAGATTGCAGTTCTGTATTGAAATTAGTGCATATATTAATTGACATGGATATTTGTGTAGCTTCTGTATGAATTAATACACAAGGCACTTACTTTTTCATGGAACTTTTTTGTTTTTATTTTTTATAGGTTTTAACAAGGTATTTACTGCAAAAGCTGTTTGGTCCTGGAACTGTTGGTGCCACAGGGAACTATAGCTATATGTACCTCGATCTTCCTTCTAATATGGTTTCTCTCTCTCTCTCTCTCTCTCTCTCTCTCTCTCTCATAGACACACATGCACACTGCACGCTCACTTATTGATACTCTTAAAGAATGGCAATTTAAGTTATGTTTAGACTACTGTATTTATGCTATCCCATCATAATCCGATAATCTGATCTGTTAAGGGTGTAATTTTTTGTTTAAAAAAAAATAATCTCAAAAAGTGAATAGCAAACAATGATTATTAAAGAAAAAAAAAAAAAAAAAAAAGAGAAGTCAGGGAAGGAAAATAAAATATGTACAAAAAAATAGAAATTGGGTATTTGACTTTTTATTAAAGGAAGAATCAATAAAGATAGACAAACTAGAGAGTGGAAAGAAGAAGAAATAATAATAGCATTGTATAATATATTTATAGCATATTATATATTATCTTGGATCAATCGATTCTAATTTATGTATGCTTTGCATGTCCTTTCACTTTGAACATTATTGTTTCACCGCTTATCTAATTCAGTTGTTCTCATGAGTATTATGTGCAATCTTTTAGGTTGGTTCATTCTTGATGGGGTGGTTTGGCGTTGTTTTCAAAAGGGATATTGCCGAAGTTTCAGATTTTTTAGCCATTGGACTGACAACTGGTTACTTGGGAAGCCTTACAACTTTTAGCGGTTGGAATCAAAAAATGCTTGACCTCAGTGTGGAAGGCCAATGGGCTTTTGTTCTCCTCGGCTTTCTTGTAGGTAATGCCACATTTTGCAAGAATAATTTACACGGGGGTATAGAGTATCTGGCAAATATAAGTACATGATTTGACTTTGAATTTTATGTGGTTCATCTTCTGCTTGGTCCCTCTCAGATTTTCAACAACTAACAATCCCCTATGTAGCTCATTCATTCAGTGTAGAATCATATTTTTTGCTCTTATTCTTTTCGCAGGTTTAATTCTTGTTTTCGGATCCATCATTATTGGGATCGACTCAGCCAAGGGTTTCAGGTGGCTTCTCAAAAGATTGAACAAAAGTCCAGAACAGGGCATCTGTAACACCAAAAGAAATTGGAAGGTGAACAACTGCAAGCGTCACTTGGCAGTTTTGGTGGTGCTGGTACTGATGCTAGGCTTGTTATGGGGAGTGAGTGGGACTCTACTGAAGAAAGAGTTTGACAGTGGCAGCAGTGGAGCTCAGCTGTGGTTGGCTTGCATGGTTGGACCACCAGGTGTGTGGATTAGGTGGTGGTTAGCCCGACTCAATGGACGTGGTTTAGGAAGAGCAGGCCTGTTGAAATGGATTCCTTTTGGGACACTAATCGCCAATGTTTCTGCAGCTTGTGTCATGGCAGCTCTTGCAATAGTGAAAGAAGTGGTAAATTCCAAAATGTTTCCATTGACGATGTTGCACTGTCTCCCCTTCCCAACTTGCTTCCCCTGCACCCTTCTCATTTCCCTTCACTACACAAACATGCGTGTGTAAAAGCCTTGGTTTTTATTAAATACCAAATGGAGCTTGTCAGCACAATCTATAAGCTTGCAATACAATAGAATATAGATAAATCTGATGAACATGCATGTTGGTTGTTCTTTCCAAATTACTGTTTAGAGTCTTGACCGTTTTCTGCACTCCACTATGATCAAGGATAAAACTTGCAAATATTAATATGACTTGTAGTTTGAAGATATTTTATTTGTTTGGCATAGGTGAACACTAGGACTTGTGATAATGCTGCAACTGGCATCCAGTTTGGGCTGTTGGGTTGTCTTAGTACTGTTTCTACTTTCATTGCGGAGTACCATGCAATGAGAGAAAGCAAGCAGTCGTGGAGAGCATATGCATATGCCCTGATTACAATAGTTACGTCGTTTGTTTTGGGGACCCTTATATATTCTACACCGCATTGGATCGGGGATACAAGTAGTGTTGACTCTGCCTTCACCTAGGCTCAAAAAAGTTGCTGCATAAGGAGTCTGGTGCAGAATTAACTCAATCAAGATTGTTGATGCTCAGGATATTGCAGAATGCATCTGGTCTTATCTACTGAAAGTTTATGCTAATCTAGTGAGGTCAGATCCTGCCCTAGTCTATTACTCTTATGGTTAGTAATAAACCATCTCTGAAATTTTCTGCACTTAACGTTGCATTTTTTACTCGAAGAATATATGCTTTTCTTTTCGATTTTGAGTATGACATTTCTTTTTGTGTAAAAATGTAAATGATAGAATATATTTGGTGTTCCCTTGTCCAATTCAGCTATAATTTTGTTATCCGATTACCTATTTATAAAAGAGATTTTATAGGTAAGGGGCTTTTCATGTTTGATTTGAGAGATGATTTACTTGAAATAAAAAGTACTACCAGTGAATTCATATTTGGTATGATGAATGAATCAGCTATTACAGAAAGCCTGTCTTGGAAATGAAGAGGAGCTCATCTCAGCTCCAAGCAATGCGAATATCGGCCACAGAGGAGAAGAAACGACCGGGCATGGACAAGGGGACAAGTGATTTATAGGATTTGAGCGGCATACGCTGAAACGTCACTCCCACATTCTTCCCACCTTCCGGTTTCGCTTTTTTGCCTCAGTTGGGATCAAGAGCCGGCAGTGGAGGCTGCTGAGAAATAAAGAGAGCATATTTTAACTTTTAGTTTCTTTCTCTTTCTTGCTTGAGTTATGAAGATGCAAGAAAATGGTTCTCTATATTAGGAAAGAATCTTCTTACACTTCAAACAAATCATCCCCCTCAAATTCTCTCTTTCTATTTATAGAAGTCTACATTTGCCTTAAAATTTCTCGCGGCTTGGTTTCCTGTTGGGCCATCCCACCACAAAGTTAGACCCGATACCAAAAGGATTGGACTAGGAAGATGTTGGAATTTCTTCCCGAATGGGTGGGCTGGGCCGGATCCCGCCCAGTCGGATTTTATGCCCCTTCAAGTTTCTTTTTCTTTCTTGGAGTTTGGAAAAAAAAGATTATTTAGCCACAAAAAATGGCATTGCATGGAATACCCCTACAGCTGGAGAAGAACTTTGCAACCATATCGTCCGTGTAATACATGTGCTCGTGTTCGCACGTGCATTGAATGAGCCCGTTGGATGGTGCAAGGGGCGCAAGAAAGTTTTTGTCCTACAGCTGATGGTTTGTATGGGTCTTTTGTTCTTTGTCAATTTTTTCTGTTTGGATCATAGGCCTAGTCTGTTATGAAGAAGATAAATAGATTTTGTGATTGCATTTGAAGGAATGATTTATGTGATTATTCAAAACTTTGGCACTCAAATTCAAGCCAGAGATGCTGTTATATCAGGATGTAAGATGTGCCAATTTTGGGCCTTATAGTACCAAATTAAAGCAATCCATTTATTCCTCTACTTTCAGAAAAGGTCATGCCTTGTTTTTTTAATGGTTTAGCTCACATTACCTTTCCGTATAAGAATGACTTGACATTATATTTGGGAATATTGAATCGGTATTTTGAATTTGAAATTGCACCAAATTTAAATTAAAGTCTAAATTTTTTTTTTTTTTCAGTTTCAATCATAAGGCAACGATTTAGTGCTTCTAATGAATTTTTTTTTTGAAAAAGAAAAAATTAGGAATTCAAAAAGAATATAATTGCCAAATAAGTTTGACTGATTTGAATGTGCCTTCAATGGTTTCAATAACTCATCTGAGCGTACTTTTTATTAAATAAAAAAAAATAAAAATAAAAAATAAACTGCAACAAAATAAAATTTTAAAAAATAGAACACGAATATGTTAAGAATACGTAATAAAATAATAATATATATTTTTATTGTATATAAAAAAGTTTACTTTTCTACATTTTTATATATATATATTAATAAATATAACTCATTTAAATTAGCCCACTTGCACCATCTTTCTTTTCAAAAACATAATTCCAAATTCCAACAAATATATATATATATATATATATATACATATAGCAGTTTATATAAAACAAAATATATGTATATATAAAATAAAAGAAATAACACAATTATAGAAAAAAATAAAATATATATATATAGAGAGAGAGAGATAAGATAGAATCTTATATATGTGATACCAACCCCCTCTCTCTCTCCCGCCACTCTTTTCGACTCACACGTCTCTGTCCTCCTAACTGCCATCATCGCTCATCCGGTCATCCCCCTCTATCTTCTCAATTTCAGATCTATAAACATTATGTGCCGGCAGCTTTAGATATATTAAAATATATGGGACACGTATCGGACACTGAATACATTGACTCTTTAAAATATTCTGCACATATATGGAACACTTGAACACGAGTGTCCGACGTTGGTATGCTGACCCTTAGGTGCTTCATAAATTTGAACAATAAATAAAAATTCCAGATAAACAAAAAAAAATTGACTTTTCTTTGGCCTCTCAATGCGAGGACGCTGATACACCATGTTCTACACCTCTCTATACTTCTTGTCATTCATTTTATTTAAAAGGGTCGTTTTTTGGATATCTGTCACGGAAGTCTTTAATGCAGCCATCAATTCACAACCTCGATAACTATTGTCACACTCCTGACACGGCTTGATGATGACTAAAATTACTTGACTTATAAGTTGATGCTACTAACCTACAAAACTACAATACTAAATATACTATTCATTATAGATAATTTAAAAGTCACATGAATGAACCAGACAAAAGAATAAACCTAAACATAAACAAAATTCGACGAGAGACGGAGAGCAATTCAAGAGAGAGCGTATTGGATCTCCACTAGGAGCGAATGGGTATATACAGATTGTGTGTTAGTTTTACTTAATAACTTAAGTTTTTATGTTGGATTGCTAAGTAACTGAAGTATAAGATTTAGACACATTTCTTGATTCAGTGTCACATCAAACACCTGGCTCAGAGGGGTCTAGATACGCAACCCAGGAAATTACAAGTTCGGTCCGATGGATATGGAAATACAACCTATTCCTGCACCGGCCTAGAGAGATTTGGGTGAGCCATCTTGGATAGGCTGGGTGGCAACGCTCCAACAATTGTTTCAATTTTTCAAAAAACAAAACTTTGATTACTTTCATTCCAATTTGAAAAAGAAATGTATTTTTAGCTTGATTAAATATTATATATATATATATATATATATATATATATATATATATATATTACCCTTTAACCGTTTAGGAGACTTTTTTAACTTTACAATTTAATAAATTGGACCAATCTACCCTCACGAACAATTTATGCGTAAAAAAAAAAAAAAACTTCACTTTTTTTTTTTTTTTTTTTTTTTTACATTATAAATGTCCCAACTTCTTAAAAATGTAGACGTCTAAAATGATTTTTTGATCCAATACATATATTTCAAATAAATTATATTTTGTTATTATTTCTTTTCTTTTTCTTTTTTATTTTAAAATTAAGATGCTTAATTCTTTCATCTAAAAAAATTAAACTAATCTCTTTTCCTTAAAAATAAAAAATATGGTACCAGTATAACTTTATGCATCTTAAATTATATATCAAATATTATGCATTTCCCAACAAATATTATGCATTTCCCAACAAAAAATATGGTACCAATATGTTGGGAAATGCATAATATTTGATATATAATTTAAGATGCATAAAGTTATACGGGTACCATATTTTTTATTTTTAAGGAAAAGAGATTGGTTTAAGTTTTTTAGATGAAAGAATTAAGCATTTTAATTTAAAAATAAAAAAGAAGAAGAAAAGAAGTAATTACAAAATATAATTTATTTGAAATATATGTATTGAATCAAAAAATCATTTTACAAGTCTACATTTTTGTAATATCCCTAATTTTAAAAGGATAGTCTCGGCATTTTTAATATTTATTGTATTGCATTTTTATTTATTTTATTATCTTTATCGCATTCTTATTTATTTTATTGTTTTTCATTTGTTTAATTGGTTATTTGAAATTTGAATTAAATTGGTTTTATGTGCATTATTTGGTTTATTTAAATTCTTAATTGTTGTGTCTATTTTCGTCAATTATTAATTGTATTATTTGTAATTCACTGTTTTAAACTTCGGAAATTAACTTACTATAATTCTTGTAATGTTAAAATTAAGTTACGTGAGTTTTTAAATACATTAATTGACTCACAGTTTCTTTTGGGCATCAACATAGAATTTAATCATATGTTTTGTTTATGAGCCGACTAGGATTAAGATTAGGGCTCTGTCTCTAAAATTACAAGGATTAGGGTTTTAGAATTAAACCTATAAATACAACCATTATGCTTTAGCCTAGGGTTTACAATCATAATTTAGATTACATAAACGTGAAGTAAGTTCTTAGCACAGAGGGTTATGAATGGAGGCACTGTAAGAATTGTCAAGGAGAAGAACAGTGAGTACCAAGGGAGGATTTTGGTGGATTAGACCAGAATCAGAGGAGGCTAGAAGGTAGTCTGTGGTTGCCGGAAGTTAGGACAACGGCGACAAGTTTTGAGTCTAAAACTACAGGCAAGTTCTTCTCTTCCTCCTTCCATCTAGCTTGTGTTCTATGCACCTAGATAATCTCTAGGGTTTAATTAATTATTAAAACCAGAACTTAAATGCTTACCATATAAAATATTGATGATCTCTGCGTGTTAAAATAAATTCTGTTAAATGTTTGCAAGTCTTGTTTCAGTTCTCTGTTTAAGCATGTTTTGTTGTTAGCAATTTTAGTTTCTGTAATTGTTTTTAACCTCTGTAAATAAATCATGGGGATGGTTATGGGGTGTTATAGGACTCTAAAGATCAGTAGTGAAGAGGAACAGAAGGGTTGGACTAGAACTGTTAATGCAAAATAGTTGCAGAGATTTGTTCCTAACGCGTGTTAGTTCGGTAGCCAATTTAACCTCTATAATTGATTCTAATGGTTGTTATCAAACCTTTGGGATGCTCATGGGTGTTAATAAAATGCTTAAAATCTATTTTAGAAACCAACAGAGTGGTAGGAATTGATCAGAGAAGGAGCAGATGGACTGAAACGAAGCAACGGGGACAGAGGCTCTCAAAGGAGGTGAGAGCCGGCTCCATGGATGTGGGAGCCGGCTCCCACAACAAGTAGAGCTGGCTCTAAGGACTCCTAGAGCCGGCTCTAGGCTGAAAGAGCCTGCTCCCAAAATTTGGAGCAGGCTCCCTTTGCAATATACGATTAATTTTTATTTTTTTTAGTTTTTAAGGCACTGTTTAGTATTTTGGACACTGTTTGAGCCTTGGGATGCTTCTAATGGATTGTGGGGACTTTTCAGAGGATTTAATTACTTGATTCTAAGTGTGATTAAACTAGTTGATGCATGGTTTAAGTCTCTAAGAGAAAGGATAAAACAATATAAAAGCGTATGACTTAGTACACTGTTATCGGATGGGACGAAATAAATTGTTTAGGTTAATTTAGCAATTTGGACTATAATGGGATTATAGAATTTGTTCTAAATGCATGATAGAGTCATTGATATATTGGATTGGGTCTATGCATGCTTTGGATGCTAGTTGTGTAAACTATTAAATTGTTTCCTGCAACTACATGGTTTAATTCTGGGATTTAAATTGCTGAAATCTTAAATACTTTTCTGCAATTATTTGGATGGTGGTTTTGGACTGTAAATTACTTGTTCATTATGTATACATTGTAATTTACCTGGATATGGAGCATAGTATGCACCGGTATGGGACGGTGACATACTGGTGACGCTTTAGCTCCAAACACCTAAACCTAGCCTAACGGATTTAAGGAACAAATTTATAAATGTTGAATCCTAATTTTGGTTAAGACATGTCAACTGCAACTAAGTTGAGTGGCTTCTTGGATTAATGAACGGAGGTTAAGTCACATCAACTGAATAAGTTGGGTGACTAACCAGTTGGTTTGTTGTATGTCAGTTTATTAAATATTTGAACTACATACCCTGGATTTGGATGGATGTTATATATATGTTTATGGTACCACGAGCTGAGCTTGAGTCTCAAACTCGTTGGTTAGGATGCGTATATGCGGTGGATGTGTAGCTGGTTATAATAGGTTGAGGTGTACCCTGTTAGGTCTAGGTACTCATGCCCACCTTTGGGTGCGTATTCGCATATTACCTTCTATTCAAGTTGAGACCCCTATTATAGACTAGTGAATGTCCCTTAGTGTGGATATATTTATACTTATAGACTAGATAGATATTGTGAGGTGTCTACGGTGTATCTACGTATCGGGTCATTGTATGGATTGCAGTTAGAGTAGAACTTGCTCGTGGGTCTGACCCACTCATTTATTATTCTTTTTAGGTACAGGACGGTTCCAGCCTTAGAGCTTGATCGTGCTTGTCAAGGACAGTCTCACATTCATTTGATTACGTAGGATTTTCTCGATGTTTCTAGCATTTTCTATTTTAAAGTTTCAGTTTCAGTTGAACTTTTGGTTAGGGGTCCACCAGTGGATTCCCAAGTTGTAACCTTGAAGTTTTGGGAGGATTGGAGTTTTATTATTTCAGTTATGCATGGAGGGTTTTATAATTAATGTTTTTTTTAGTTTTATT